GCTGACATCCTGCGTTCGTTATTGTTGTTTTTATTGTTGTTGCTCCCTTTTTTGGTTGTTGGGCTAAACTCATTTAAATGCCATAATGCCAAAAGCTTGCATAAGCACGCCGTATTTTGTTTCTAAGTGCAGGTGCAAATGCCATTAAGTCAAGGTGGCTCAAATTATATGTCACACACACACAGCAAGCGCTCATTAAATAAAGAAAATACTAAATTGCTTGTGGTTCAAATGGTTTCATAAAAGCATTTAATTGCCTCGACATTTTTTCAGCAGCAGCTTGAAGGTCAAGTATGGAATTGAATTTTTTTTTTTATTTTATATTTTTAAATTATTATTAAAATTTATAGTTTTTTGAAAATTAAAGCTTTGAACTAATTGCATATTGCATTTTCTTTGCAAATTTTAAAGAAGAATTTCATACTCGTTTTCGATTTAGAGAATTTTCGAAATTCATATAATTAATTTTCCCAAAACTATTAATAATTTTATATAACATAGTTTTCAAAAAAATTCTAAATTTGAAAAATATTTTTAAAACTAAATCTATATATAATTTAAAAAATTAGTTTTCAAAAAACTATAAATTTCGAAAAACAATTACAATTAAAAACAACATAAAAATCTTCAAACTAATTAAAAAAATTTTAATTTCAAAACATTTTTCTAATTAATTAAAAACTTAATTTTGGAAAAATTTTAAATTACAAAACATTTTAAAAATCCAAAAACAGCATAAAACTTTTCTATATAAATTTCAAGAAAATGCTATTGAAAACTTGAATTAATTTCTTTAATTAACGTTGTATAGAAAAATTGTATGCTGATTTTTGGTTTTAAAAATATTTTTCAAATTTATAATTTTTTTGAAAACGATGTTTTTCTAAATTAAATATAGTTTTCAAAGCATTTTCTTTATATAAAATTAGTTCATGGTGTCTTTTGATTTTTAAAATTTTAATTATTAATAGTTTTAGGAAAATTAATTATATTGAAATTTTAAAGTAAATAAATTTTCTTTTTAACTTTGATAAAGTTTTTCAAAAACGTTTATATATATTTTACAAAATAGTTTTTTTTTTACCGAATTCTAGTTGTAGATGGCATTTTCGTTTTAATTAATATATGTTTTTAGTACACTATAAATATTTTCTAAATTTTTATTCCAATTTTTTTTAAATTTTATTTTGTTTAATCTATAAGAATAGTTTTCTATTTGAATAGTTTTTTTTAATAATTTTTTTTATATAAATTAGTTGTGAATAGTATGTTGTTGTTATAACATAAGTTTTCTTAACTTTTATTTGAATTCATGTTTTTTTGTAATACATTTTTTTAACAAATATTATTGTGAAAAGTATTTTCGCAACATATCAGATAGCTCGTTTTCAGCAGTCGTTTGAAATTTATTATATTTTTTTAAAATAATTTTTAAGATTTAATTTTTTTTAAATTGTTTTTAAAGTAAAAATAAATTTTTTTTATTTAAAAATAGTAATATCGCTGCATTTAAGTGAAATGGTTTCTATTAAAGGGAAAAAGATGCTCGGAAGTAGTTTCGTATTTTATTTTAAAACATTCAGGTTCAACTTTGGAATTATTTAAAGCTTTTTAGAACGATTCCTGGTGTCTTTCCAGCCGGAAACAGTTCTTGTATGAAGTATTCAATACTTGAGCTGCAGTTTAAAAATTGGTCTATGTAAGAAGTTTAAATATTAGAAAGACTAGTATTTTTTTTGGTTATTATACCTTTTGTGCATAATTGAACTGGTTGAACCATGGCGACATCTATCGTAGTTTCAGAATTATTCTACTCTCTCTCTTTCTCTCGTCTACAATTCTATTATACTTAAGTTTACTAAAATTTGATATTTAAATTGTTTGTAATATTTCTAGCGACTAAAGATACTTTCCGTTACATATTGGAAGGGCGGTAACCACTAAGTGGCTTGTGATTTCGAAACAGTTCATCATCAAAACTATAAACAGATTATTCTTCACTCGGAAGATAGTTTCAGGGTTCGTGTTGTAATTTCAATGTGGAAATGTTGCTGTTCGGAAATAATCACAATTTTGGAGGCAAGTTATCCCTTACAGACTGACCACTTAGTATTTAACCTCGGAATCGAATTATAATATTGAAATTTCTTAGTTAAGTATCTGCCATATACATGTATATGACATATTTACATGTATATATATATAAAGATATAATTACGAATTATTAGAGACCTTATATAAATTATGATAGAAAAAGGTTCCCAGAAATTCACAAAAGTCGCAAGACTTGATCTGGCCTGAATATATGACAAATAAATGATAATTTTTTGATGTTACTTCTTTAATAATTTCTATATGCTCGAGAGAATTCCACTATCCTTATATCTCTATAAATCTGGGTTATATGAAAAATTTACGCGATTTTTATTAGTTTGGTCCAAAAAACTGCAGTAAAAGAAAAGTTATTTCTGGCTGAGTCACGTCAGCCATCAAGAGTCATTCAAGTGCCATGTGTGGGTTTGTAATGGTCTAACTATGTGTGTATACTTTTCAAGTGCGCTGGTACCTGTGCTTATGCTTTACTTATACCATATAACCATAAAAGCATACTCATTCGAAAACTAAATATATAAAAATATGCAATCAGACGCACATACATGCGCACGGACATGCTTTTTAATGCCTTCCACCTGGTCACTCAGGCATATTGGCTTGCCAACTATTTACGCTGTGGTAATTTTAATTTTATTATGAGCCAAGTAATGTGAAGTGAAAAGCAAGAAAAAAAATTAACAAAAAAAAAATTGAATGAAATTTCCTAGAAGCATAAAAAGTGTGTTTTAGCGAAATATATATTACAAATAGGAAGTGGAGAAAATGAGAAAACGGCATTGTGAGGAACAAGGGTTGATAGTAAATTGTAATAAAGGCACGTTGTAGTAATGGAAAAGGTGCGGAAACATGTAGGTAAATGTGAAAAAATTTCAGAAAATGGAAAAGCATGAATATATGAGAAATGAAATGGCATAATGCGCACACAAACACATGCATGCAAACATAAATGTATGCATGAAAAAGTATGCGATTACTATTTAAGCCCTTGGTCAAGCACGTTCAATGTACAAAACTGTAGTATGGGTTCAGGGGGCCACTCGCATATAACTGCACGAGCAGTCAGCAGGTGTAGAGCAAGCTGTATGCTTGTGGAATACTATAGTATATATTTACATCTACATTTGCACAGCGTCAAATGCGCGCATTTGGTGGAAATTCTCGCGTTACGCTCGGATTAAAAGTGTCAACAGAGTTCAAAAACATTTTTATGGCGTGTATTAAAAGCACAATAAAATTAAAACCTAAAAGAAAACTTTTACGAAAATATTAAAACGATATAAAAGTTGTCAAATTAACAAACAAATATAGAAAATAAAATAGAAAATAAAAATTTTAAAAATTAAAAATTAAAAATTAAAAAAAATATATATGACAACATTAAAAAAGCTCAAAAATATCAAAGAATAAGACGAAAAGTCTTAAAAAATATAAAATAAAAATTTTAAAAAGTATATGACAACATTAAAAAAAGTTCAAAATATAAGAGAATAAATTATAATAAAATATAAAAAAATTAAACAAATTAAAATGTTAAAATGTGTCGACGTATGCAGGCAGTTTAGGCTATGAAGCACCGATATGTAAGCATTGCTGGTGAAGAGTGTACATAAAACCGCGTGTTGGTGGAGGCAAGTGAGTGTTAGTGATGAATATAACTCTTATGATGTAATTTCAGCTGAAGAGTGTGCACTTTAACTCAAATTATATACTCATGTGGGTATAAGTAGATAATATATTCGGCACAACTGAGTGTCTCATAAGCGAATTTTTTATTTATATATCTTTTTGTACATATAAAGTTTTAGGTATTTATTATATATTTTTTATTTGTTCATATCTTTTAATTTAAAACAACTATTACTAAAGTCTCCTGGGAAACGAAAAAATAAATTTTAGATTAAAACAACATGTAGAACATTATAGAATTTCGCAAATTTGGCATTATAGTTCAATATTTTGTTGAACTATATTTTATATATGTTAATTAGCTGCATTAATAAATAAATATTTTCAATATTTATTTAAATTTTTTTTTTTAACATTTTTGCTTTTTTTTATTGTTATTAATTTGCTAAGAACAATTTTTATAACATATTTAGTGTGCAAGCACCTTAAAATTTCAATTCCGTTTGAAAATTTCACTTTTAGGGAATTTTCAATATGAAAATAATTTTTTTGTTATGAAAACTTTTAGCTCTAATAAGTTTAGTTTAAAATCTAAACACATTTTGAAGCAATATTAAACCGAAAAAAGCAACATTGTCTTCTTAACCACTGTACTAGCCTAAAATGACCATTTTGATATTAATTTCTGCACGAAGAAAAAAAAAATCATTCAATAAAAAAAAATATTCCCTGGTTCTATGCACAGATGTTAAACATCTCTATAGACCTGTACCAGATGAAATAAATAAATAAATAAAATACTGGATACCATATTTCAATATTATATAGTACTAAGTATCTAATATAGTACAATGCGTATGAGCAACATTTTCAGCGTTTTTCTTCGCATTGATAGCTCATACGCACTGGTGAACCTGAGTTCATACGCAATTGTTATGGTATAAGTGTTTAATTCTTTAATTGATGTTCCGAAACTGGTTTGCTAAACTGGTTTTTTGAAATCAAGAAATTTATAATAATAAATACTTAATACAAAATTAAAAAAAAAAAATTTAATTGTCTTATTTGAAGCGGAAAAATTGCACAAAATAATTGTTCTAGTACTAAATTTTGAATCCCCTATTTATTGATATTTTATTTGCATTTGTAGAAAAATAAAAAAATAACTTGTTTGAATCAACAGCAAATATTTTTTTTTAAATAAAATTGTCTTTCTTCAAAATTTTATCATATGTATTACCTAAGTAAATCAGACTTACCGTGACGAGCTTCCTCTCCTTCGGGTGCGTGTTGCGTGATCGTATTCAATTCCTCTTCCAAATCGACGTGACAATCACCGACGTCCCATGAGAGAAAACCTGAAATGAAAAAGGAAAAAACAACCCTTATTTGAATGTCTCAAAAAACTACAGCTTTAAACAAAAATACACATGCAATAGTAGAAGCAGATAACGGTAAAAATATTATATACCAAAAAAAATGTCTGCTATGTTTCGAAGCAGTTATTTGTAGTTGCAATATTACTGAATTGAAAGTAAATTTTTTTCCCAAAGTGAAAACTGTTAGGGTAGCAACTATGGAAAAAAAAAGGATAAATTAGTTGTAGAAATATGTAAAAACTTTTATTAAAACCTAGCTGCCACAAAAAAGAAAAAAATTGTTAGACATTTGTACAACAAATTGGAGGGATAGGAAATACGTAAAATTTTACTGCTTGCAATTTGGCAGCACAAGTTTTCGTATAGATGACTGTCGAGACAGGCAAGTATCTTTTAATGAAAAAACTTTGCTGTTGGCGCACAGAATAGCAACGGCTGAAACAAAGCAAAGTGAAATAATGCATATTTTTGTTTGACGAAATTTGTGTGCGGAAAAAGGCAAAAGTAAAGTCGCTCTGATTTCTTTTTGATTTTTGTTATTTTGGTATTTTGTATGCAGACATGCTGCAACTAATAACCCTCCTTTTGCATGTCGAAACTGTTATTTATTAGTTAGGTAGTTTATGTTGCATGTGGTATAGTTGATGGCTTACGTTGTTAGTCGGAACTGTGAATAAATTTAAATTGAAATAAATATAAATTATGAGTAATATTATTATAAGAAATTTTAAAATTTTTTGGCAGCCGTCAGTCAAGTGTCACGAGATACGTGGTAACGTCAAACGGAAATTAGCTACCAAACACATTTACTGCTTGGATACTAAGAAAATTTCAAAGGAGTATAATGAAAAGATCCAAAATAAACAAGTATGTGGTTGGAGGTACGTTGAAGGTGTCATTACAGTAACCATTTTGAAAATTTTTTTAAATTAGAAACGTACAAAAGCGCTGCTTCTTAATATGCATGAGGACGAAATACCTGACAGCCATTGCCAACTTTTAAAATAAAATCATAGAAAATATACTGTTGAAAGATTGAAAGTGAAAGAATTTTATAATTTAGTCTTGTTTGCTGAAATTACTAAGTACGACACAACGTATGAGCTACCAAAAACTGTAGGAGGTATTACACTTAATCAGAATGTTACGCATACGCACTGTACTTCACAAGAGTGCTGTCTTTCAGACAACCAGTTCGTTTTAGAAGTTACCATTTTTATTTACGTTTTAAAAAATAGCTCAATTACATTAAAGCATTTTGAATATATTTTTGAGAGCTGCCACCTGTATGATACATAGAATTGGTGGTAAAAATATTACTATAATATAAAAATAATTACTATTGGAAAGCTACTCCCATTTGAAAAATGTATTTCAGAATTGATAAATTAAAAATATAGGTATATTATACAGAGTTGCCACACTTTCATAAGCTATGTCGTGTCTCCCTCAAATCGAGCACTACAATATGAACACTAAAAAAAAATTAATTGCAAAATGCCTAGGCTTAAACAAAACTTTGTCGTCAGCTAAATTGTAATTGTAGCAAAAAATATTTGGCTCCACATAAGATTGTAGCATTCTAATGTATAAAATAGCATGTATACAAAAAGGGCGATATATAAAAAATATATATAAATATATGTTATATATAATTATAGAGTTACCACAATCAAAGAAAATTAACCATTCTCAAATCTCTTTTCCATCAAATGATGCCATATGTTTATTAAATAAAAGGTATTTCATAAAAAGTTGTAGGACAGGGTTACCAGCTATTTCCAAGAAATTAAAATTCTTAAATTTAAATATAATTATTATTTTTTGTTTCATCAAACGGTTTTGATAAAACAAAATTTGTGAAACAGAGTAACCACCTATTTAAAAAAATTAAATATTATATAATTTATTTCTTTCCAATGAAACATATTGTAACACATATAAAATATTTCAGAAAACGAAAAAAATTGTGGAATAGTGTTTCAATCTCCTATTTCGAAAAATTGATTGCAAACACATTAGTTTGCCATATATCGAGGCCTGTTCATAAATTATCGGTACACAAAAATACTCATCTACATTTCATTACATAAAAAATGTTTATAAAATAAATGCGAAAAAAAATATATACTTTTACCATTATCTTTAAGATAAAAGTAAGTTTTCTATAACTGAACTCAAAACTCATATATTTGCTCTTGACGTATAAACGTTCTTAATATAGAGGCCATAATTCCGTCCTCAAGTAGATTTAGGTCGCATCTGTGTCTATGTTTAGAATTGATGTCCAAAAAATGTCACTGCGTATGAGTTATAATTTTCTAATGAGAACTAGGCATAGAATTAAATGTTGCTCATACGCAGCGTATCACTTCTTGTGCTCTCAATACATACCACTAAAGTGGGATAATTAAATTAAAGACATTTTTAATAAATTTGACTAAAAAATATAATTATTTACATTAATTTTTTTATTTTATTTTCACTATTTGGGCAATAACACACACAGATATTAATGCCTAGATCGACATAAGGCCCATGAAAATTGTATAAAGTTTCCGAAGCGCACTTTAAACACAAAAAACTTAACTTTTCTAACACAAGTATAATTACGTCATCGCTTTCACAACAAAAAGACCAACCATAAATTCTAATTATAGCATAAAAGCAATATATACAAACACTACTGCCACAAAACGGCAAACAAAGCGCATATAAATGCAAAAACATCCATTTATAAAATATTAATAGAAAAGCGACAAAATAAATAACAAAATACACGCATACACAAAAAAAAGGAGACAATAAAACAGTGAATATTCTAACTGCAGACCTAAGTGTGGCGCTGATGAGCACTTTCGCCGTTGCTCTGCCGTGAATGCGGCGCAGGTGGCGTAGGCAGGGGATGCGTTTGCAGTAATAACAATAAATGTTGCTACAATGAGTGTAATAGCATTCGCAAATATGCGCAGATGCAGAGGGTAAATTGTGCGCACACAACTGCAGCAACAATGCGAACAATCAAGAAATACTTTATAATAATACTGCTGTGCATACTTGTTGTGCGTGTGTGTGTAGTTTTGTACGCAGTCATACAATGGCAAATGGCACACAACAAAATAAAATGCGAAATGTGTACAAATTAAAAATTATATTATAGACATACCTAGCAACATTATTTTTTAAAAAAGAATCACGCAGAATTGAAAAAAGTTTTTATTGAATTTAAATGACAGCATATGAGAGCACAGAGCAATTATATTGCAATAAATAAACAAATAACTAAAGAAAGACAACTGCACAAGTTACAATTTGTGTTTTTGTTAGCATTTCATACACGCATAAAAATTAAATATTGTTTGAAATAGTTTATGTTGGTCGCTGCCAGGCTTTTCATTTAATTTTTCTCCGGAAACAAATATTGTTTGATTTAAAAAAATAGTAAAAAATTGTTTTACAGAATTTGAATTCTTGAAGAAAATACAAAAAGCAGCTGTACAAATAAATATATATTTTTATACAAAAAGTGAAATATTTTTGTTTAAAATTGTACTTTTTTCCTTAAAAATTATTATTCTTTTAACATTTTTTCTTTAAAATTCTACTCACTGATAAATTTATAATAATAATTAAAATAAACAAAAAAAATGTCTGTAAAATGCTACATTTTTCATTAAAAATTATTATTATATAAATTTTTTCCTCTAAAATTCTATTTTTTTCATTGAAAATTATAATTTTTAAACATATTTTTCTTTAAAATTCTACTTTTTTAATTAAAATTTCTTATTTTAAAAATATTTTTCTTTTTAAATACTATATTTTATTCATTCAAAATTATTGGCATAAAATCATTTCTTTAAACTCTACTTTGTCATTAATAATTTTTATTATTTAATGTAGTTTTTATTAAAATTCTACTTATTTCATTAAAAATTATTATTATAGAAAATTATTTTCTTCAAAATTCTACTTTTTGCAATAAAAATAATTATTATACAAAATTTTTTCGATCGTGAAAAAAATCAAAAGTTTAGTCTTTATGTAAGTACCATTATTACGCAGCGTACAAATGTATACAACCGTATTTTATGCAAAAGGCTATAAGCTATAGTGGTCAGATATCGGTTCTGACAAATGAGCAGCTTATTGGATAGAAAAGGACATGTGTGAAATTTCAGATCGATATCTCAAAAAATGAGAGATATACTGGCAGACGGACGAACAGACGGACATGGTAAATCCACACATATTTTCGAGAAGCACAAAAAAGTATTTTATAGTTTTTCTGTTTTAAAATTTTTATGTATAACAGCGTTCAATTTCCAGTGCGACACTGCGTATGAGTGATTCATTTGTATTAGCTACAGTATACATATTATTAGCGAATTAGAAGGTTACTCATACGCACCGCAGAACAAGCAAGTTCTTCGAATTTCAGCAATGTTGTTGTTTCTATTTCTTTCTATTAATATATAACTTTTCAGGTGATTTGTTTATATTATAGTAAATTTTTTATATAATCGCCATATATTTTGTGGTAAATACTGACTGATTGATATTCAGAGAATTTCATCAAATACAATTATACAATATAATGTATGGAGGGCTGTTGTATCATTGCTTAGTGCAATATTAAATAAATGTCAATTGATCTAGACGTTGAGTGCTTAAAAAATCATTTATAGTTTCTATACGAAATATTTGGAGATTCATAAACTATTTTCTGAACCATTCAACAATTCGAAAATAGCTGTTTTTAAATCGCCAAATTTTGTGTATTGGTTTACGAGCTTTCTGTCAGCTGTATTGGTGGTTAGTAGCTGTAAATATCAGTATTGGGCTCATATTGAGCAATTTCTTGGCGGTAAACATCTCGGACTAAGTACATTCACTTCCGGTACAAATTGTTTTGCCAGTTGCGTTACTTGTGCATTCTTACAAAATAAAAAATTAGATCATAATGTGTATTTAAAATA